GCATATTTGCCTTCCTTTAGACAATCATAACCCTAACCGCCAGTCGGGAACGGAAACATGGGCACGATCACGCGTACATGACACAGAAGGTTCGCCATGCGAGACTTGTTTGTTTTAGGAAGCCAGTGGATCGGTGTACGCCATTTGGGAGGGTATTTATATATGACTTGAAACGCAGGCATCCAAAGAAATATAATTTGAAAGCAAATACGTTCTTTGGGAAAAGAATACAACTTTATTCAGAAAATTTTCAACGTCGGTTCCCCGTATCGTCGTCAGACTCGAGTAAATGCGCAGAAAACAATTAATAATTCAACGTGGCAAAGCATTAATACTCATTTGGTGCTTCAGTCAGTAAGCGGTCGTCGTTTGCTTCAGTCCGTATTGATCGGCTTTCGTCTCTTCCACTTTTCCCCGAGATTTTTGTACGTGTCATCTAACTCTATATGTCTGTTGATGCATGACTCACTGGAGTGCATATCTTCAAGAAACTCTCGGCCATTTTAGATGGGTAAACTCCGACGATGCGAGTTTCGTCCCATGCGAAAGTGTGTCCAGTATCAAGAGTGTACATGGCCATTTGAGGCAAGTGATCTCACCTTTGAACTGCCAGTTGATGTTCGTGGATGATTCTAGAGGCAAATTTTCCCGTATGGTCACAGTATACGGCATCACAGGCATCGCATGGGGTCTTATAAACGACTTCCTTTTTACCGAGGTAGTCAACCCTATCCTTAGGGTGTACAAGCTGAGTGTGTAAAGTATTCGTCGTCTTGTGCGCCACTTTTATCTGGTGTTTCCTCAAGTGTCTCTCAACAAGTTCAGACACATTCCTGATGTAAGGAAGGATTCGCCAAGTGTTTGCTTTGGGTGCTTGATTGGAGCTATCTATTTTCTTTGTTTTTATCTCCTGTTGTTTCATGCATCGACGTACAAAATCTCTGGGGTAACTGTTCTGCGAAAATAATTCCAACAGGTATTTTAGTTCAACTTGGTAGCTTTCTTCATCAGAGAAATTTGTTTTTGCTCGAGGTATCACACTGTTGACAGTTCTCCGCTTGTGAGAGATAAGGCTGTTGCTCTCATAGTGCAGAATTATTTCCGCATATGTTTCCTTGCGGTGAACGGACATGCGTAATGTTCCGTCAGTCTTACGGTGTACGAGAACATCTAGAAATGGGAGTTTATTATCAACTTCTTTTTCGAGCGCGAATTTAATTCCCAGAATGGTTGCATTGATTGTGTTGTCAAGCAGTTCTAGTTCATCCTTTTTAGCGACACCGAATGTGCCGTCTAAATATCGTATCCATAATTTGAGGTTAACTGATGGAAGAGCTATCGATTCATATTTCTGCACTGTCACCTCAGCAACGAGGCCAGATGTAGGTGATCCCATTGGAGCACCTTTTAGTTGTTGATATTATTGGTGATCGAACGAAACATAAGTTGCTAAACAAAGGTTCATGAGTTAAAGTAAGGCAGTTGCACGAACATCCGTTTCATAGGGTTTTGGAGTTCATCCGTGCATTGCATGCGCGATTCGCGAATGTCTAACGCGAGGACAATTATCATTTCTTCACAAGAACCGAAACAAAAAGACTCTGCCAATATTTTTGCGTGTAAAGCCTGCCGTAAAATCTACCCTAGGAGATTGAATAGCGTTTCCCTAAGGACAGAGCATGCTTGGTGCATTTATAAGTGATGTTCATTACCGACTTCGAAAATTTCAAATTTCTAAAGAGCAACATGTGGAATTTTGCCGTAATAATCTGCTCTCGAACTTAGTCGAAGCCCTACATGAAACGATCACCTGCCTAACAGAACTTGAAAGACAGAAGAAGAAGAAGAAAAAGGTGTTAGATAAAAAAAATGGCCATTCCTTAACCAGCTCATGCAAATCAGAAGTCTTCAGCAAAGATCGTGAATTCATCCTCGAGGGGCCTCACAGAAATAGAAGAGAATGTAATTTCTAAAGGAATGAAACACAATCAATCTGATTCGAATTACTTGGACTTCCCTGCAAGCTTGCAGTCCATCATATCTACAGTAGATCTTAAGGAAGATGAATGATTTGCGATCAGAAATAGTGCCGTACAGGCCTTGAAAGATCGAAATCACTTTTAACTACAATGGTATGAAAATCTCAAAACCGGCGAAACCACTGTCATTCTCCCCGCAGACAAAAGAGGCCTAACCGAATTATACTCTTCTTTTGAGTATGAAATTGAAAGAAGGCGTGATTTTCTACCGAATAAGTAAAAGAATGAATATTTTTATGCATGTTTTCCATGATATATAATTGAATTTTCAAGGGCAGCGAAAATCAACGAGAAAATTGCCTACTACTTAAGTAGTCATTTTTTTGCAGAGTATAGATCTTGTATGCAGGCGAAAATAAGTTCTTTCGAAAGCCGACACCCTGAGGTAACTGGATCATTATAGATTTATGCTGCATCATGATTAGATTAACAACACTACTTAATTTATCTTTTCGAAATGAGAACGCTTTTCGAAATTTTGGTTGACTTTTCATGAGTTAGCACATCTACTGTATGTATAGAGGAGGACGCAAAGGCGATCACTGAGACCAATTGTTGATTTATCCGACGTTTCGAACTTTCACGAGAGTCTATCGTCAAAGAGTGAAAAAACCGTACAATACATCGCATATTTAGCTCACCTCTGACGGAAAAGACATCCAGCTGCGGTGCTGATTTGATCCTTCAGTGCTTGATAGGCGACTGGCTGATCGATATGTCGATTTATTGATTCCTTAGTTGAACGCAGCGTTTCCTGCCGCAGACACCCAACTCGATCGTCTGATTGGCCCAAGATTCTTGAGTTCTCAAAGCCAAAGTCGTTACCTGGCGAGGATGCGTAGGCAGCTACCAAGGAAATGTGGTATTTCCGTCTCGCTGCCAACTCATGCTCGTGCAATCTCGTGCGAATTCGTTTGACGGTCTTGCCAACATTAATTGTCTAACCGAAATTGCACTTTATCCGGTCTACCAGTGGTCCGACAACGGGCCCATGGTTCAATGGTTGAGTGTTAAACTCCATTACCGAAGGTCATGGGTTCGAATCTCAAGTGATCCATACTTGGGGTTGGCTACGACTGCTGATGACAGCTAAGAAGCCAGAAATGGCCATTCCGGTCTCCCTTGTCTTTTTCGATACCAACTCATATACCTATACTACAAGTCGCTGAGCGACTACCTGCGAGGATTCTAGTATGAGCCCCAAGGCACAACGGAACAAACATGTCCTGTAACCTGACCGATGAGCGCCCACCTGGCATATATATATGTGCAGGAGGTTATTACCGACAAAGACAAGGGAGACTGGAATGGCCATTTCTGGCTTATCAGCCGTCGTCAGCCAGTCATACCCAACCCCGAAGTGCGGAACACCCGAGGCTCGAACTCGCGACCTGTTTGTTAGAAGTCCACGCCTCTAACTACTGGGCCACGAGCCCGTTGCCCTGTCGGTTTTGGATCGGGAATATACGATGGTAGGGGGCGCTCACCGATCGTTCTTACAGAACTCACTCCTTCCGTTTCGCCTTATGGACTCTGTCTCTCGAGCCCAACCAGAAGCCGCACAGTAATTTCATTCTGCCTATATCATGCGCCGCTGTGATTGAGCTCAAGTATGAGTGTAAAACGTTTAATGAATAAATCATTCTCTCCAGAGATTTCTTTATCTACTTCCATATATATAAATATATGGAAGGAGGTAAAGAGATCTCTGGGGAGGATGATTTATTCATCTGACGTTTCACCCTCATACTTGAGCGCATCATCGGAGATAGATTAAAAGTGGGAATACAAGGTTTAAATAGGTCTTTCTTACTCACTACTGATAGGTCCATTGTTCTCTCTTCCCATTGGTCCTCCCTTCCTGCTCAAGTGGTGTCTGACGGCCCCATATGGCGCCGGTAGGTCGATCCTACGGTTGATCGAGTTGGCGTTGGATTGCCAGGCTTCGATTATCTCTCTCGCCATTTTGCTTTCAGCTCGACCGATTACTGCTGCCTTGTCGAAGCCGAATTGATGGTCATTTTCGAGGCTATGCATGGCAACATGTGATCGTACATCTTTTCGCTTTACAGCTAGAGAATGCTCATGCATGCGCGACCTTAATCGTTTGTCGGTCATGCCACAATAATTGGCCGGACAGTCTAGACAGTTGACGCGGTAAACAATTCCTGACGTGTCCTCAGGTGGTAGCCGTCCCTTGGGCTGCATGAGTAAGCGGCGGATAGTGACCTCCGACCGGTGTCCAAGGCCCACGTTGAGTGGTCTGAGCATGCGTTCAGTGGCTTCGGAAACGTCACTCACGTAAGGCAAAGCACGGAAGAATTCAGGTTTTTGTTTTTGTTCATCGTCGGTCTTCGTGTGCCTTTGATACAGGCATTTGTTTATGAAGCTACGTGGGTACCCATTGGAGAGAAAGAGACGCCATAGGGATTTACGCTCTCGCAGCTTTTCAGCCTCTGTGCTGCAGTGTGTGTTGATGCGTAGGAAGAGTGTCCGCACGCAACTGCGTTTATGTGACAAGGGGTGGTTACTGCTGTAATGGAGGATTTTCGCCGTATCAGTTGCCTTTCGAAAGACACCAGTTTGGAGGACTCCGTCTTCCTGTCTCGACACCTGGACATCCAGAAAGGGGATTTCTCCGACTTTTTCTTCCTCCATTGTGAATTGAATTTGGGGAAAAATTGAGTTCAATTTGCTTCTGAACGTCTCTTTCATGTCTTGAGGTAGGATGACAAAGGTGTCATCCACATAGCGCATTCAGAATTTTGGCATGTAGGATTGAAAGACCCGTGTTTCCAGTTTTTGTAGAACCGCCTCAGCTAGGTAGCCGGAGATTGGTGATCACATCGGAGTTCCCTGGATTTGCTCGTACACCTGCCTATTAAACGTGAAGTACGTGCTCAAACAGTAGTCCAGTAGCTCCATTATGTGCTTCCTTTTCAGAGGTCTTTCGTCTTCATCTTACCTCCTCTCCAGTAGGTCATTTATGATCCTCGTGGCTAATTCTTTAGGGATGGAGGTGAAAAGAGAGACGACGTCGAAGGACACCATTATTTCATTGGGGGCTATTTTGACGCCTCGGAGTCTTTCCAGGAAGTGTGATGGGGATACAGCTGTGTGTTCTGAGCCCACCGTCAGCTTCTTCAGATGTTTGGTAAGCCACTTAGCCAGACCGTAGGTAGGTGTGCCTTTCAGCGCCACAATTGGCCGTAAGGGGACGCTTGGTTTGTGGATCTTTGGCAGACCATAGAAGCGTGCTATGGCAGCATCTTGCGGTTTCATCTGTCGCCAATCGGTCTCAGATATTGCCTGCTGGTTCCTCATTAGACTCAGACTCTTGTTGATTTTTGCCACCAGTGTTTTCATGGGGTCGGAGTCAATGACCTTGTATGACTGGTTATCGTTGAGTAGCTCCTGAGTTTTCGCTACGCACTCTGACTTGTCCAGGATCACGGTTGCCCGTCCTTTGTCTGCTGGGACAATCACAATGTCTTCGTCTCTCTTTAATTCTTTAATGGCATTTACCTCGGCTGAGGAGATGGTTCGACGTGGCCTGTGGGATATGATGAGTGATGCGACTCGTTGGCGAATCGAGTTCTTGGTGTCCTCTGTGGCCTTCGTCTTTGAGAGTGTCGCTTCAAGAGCAGCGATAAAATCCACTGTGTGTGCGTCCCCTGTGTTGTAGCCTGATTCGTGCTGAAACACTTTAATCTGGTCGTCTGTCAGCTGTTTTGATGACAGGTTGTGGACGGAGGGTGGTTCCGGTAGTGTGGCTTGTGCTTCCTTTAGACTACTCATTTTGTTCGGGAGTTGGGCCCTCTTCTTCTCTCGCTCGCTGCTCACCTTACTCGAGATCCAGCTCTGCAAGTTTCTTAAGGGTTCCATCTCGAGGTATGATGCACATGCTGTCTTTTCCCTTTCGATTTCCCTGCTGTACTTTCCCAGGCGAATGTGACACTCGTTGATGAGAGTTCTTAGTAGGCGTCGGCTGCAGCTCCTGGCGACCGCTCGACCGAAGTCAGTCCTAGCTGGTGGTCTTACCGAAACACCGTAGGATCGACCTACCGGCGCCATATGAGGCCGTCAGACACCACTTGAGCAGGAAGGGAGGACCAATGGGAAGAGAGAACAATGGACCTATCAGTAGTGAGTAAGAAAGACCTATTTAAACCTTGTATTCCCACTTTTAATCTATCTCCGATGATGCGCTCAAGTATGAGTGTGAAACGTCAGATGAATAAATCATCCTCCCCAGAGATCTCTTTACCTTCTTCCATCTCAACACCTGGGGTCGGCATTTTCGCCTATATCCATATAAATATATATATATATATCGGCGAAACACGTGTCTGGGCTTTTAGCAAGTATCGAATTCGGGAGTACGGTATAATACATTTACCATATATATATACACCTGTATACATATAAGGTCACAAGCAGACAGTTAGATCAGCTATCTTATTAGATGTTAGGCAAAATTTTGAAATGTGTTGTGATTGGAAAAGGTCACTTATGAAGGGTTTTAGCACTACTTATCACCCAGAATAATCCTGAGAAATTTCGATCAAGCCAGCAAGCTTGCTTTTGAATGGGCTTTTCCCGGCTGTTTACGGACACTAAACGATGCAAAAAAATGGCTGTTAAACTAGTGTGGATTTTACTTACTGATTTTTGATACCCTGATATGTTCAAATACATTTTATGTAAAAAATGCGCAAAAATAGGCTTCCTTATAGGTATTTGGTAGTTAATTGCGTCGCCTCGAACTTAATGCTTCAGGGAAGTGTATTTTCCCGATTTAAAAATGGTTCTAATTATGAGAATGTTTAAGACCGTGAAATGTCTATTCATGATGCAACACGAGTGTTCACCTATTAACGCTTCTAAGCAGGTATACAACATGGGCCATATGTGTTGAATAAGTTTGCGACAAAGTGTATTTTTTAATTAATAGGGCACAGAATTGCATAATTTTCCTTTAACAAAAATTATGGCTCGTATTGTGGAAACACTTATTGCACATGTAACCTGGGGTCGGATTCAAAAGCATTCGGGAATTGAAAAAAATTTCAAAACAAATGATATAGTTTCTTCGAAAGGAAAAGTTAAAGATGATGTGGTTGGATACCAAGCGAGTACAAGAACTAATGCAAATGTGTAGGTGTTCCAATAGAATACATTTAAATGTATAAGGTCTTCGAAAAGTAGTGCGAAAAATCTATGCCCAAATAAGTTGTCATTTTAAAAATATTCGGGTCATTACAGGAGGCCGGGAAGAAAATCCTTCAAAAGCAGGCATTCTAACATGAATGAAGTATAAGTAATGGTAGATGGGTGCTAACCGTTCACGTTACAGGACACATTTCCCACATTGTGCCTTGGGGTTCTCTCGAGCCCAACCAGCAGCCGCACAGCGGCGAGTAATATAGGCGGAATAACATTACCGACAATGACAAGGGAGGCTGGAATGACGACTTCTGGCTTATTAGCCATCACCAGCGAGCCATACCCAATCCCGGGTGTTTGTACGACCGCTGAGGCTTGCTCCTGTGACCTGTTGGCCTGAGGTACAACACCCTAGTCATGTTATCATGTCGGTTGCTACCAGGCATATACAATGGTTGAGGGACGCTCACCGATCGCGATTTTGTGGACCGGGTTGCATTGGTACTGACGTTTCGGAAGCATCCTGGCTTCTATCACCAGAGTAGTGCGGTCGCTGTTCCTGCTAGTCTCCAGTTATTCATCCTTGCCGCTCGCTTCGTATTATATCCGCGTTTGACGCCCGAACTTTGGCCTGCCCGTTTGCTGCTGAGTAGGTTTAACCTCTCAGAGGCTGGCGGCCGACAGACACGGCAGCGGAAGTGAGGAAAGTCCTAAGACGCAGTTCTAGGAGCCCGATAATACGCCCTCGTCTGAGCTTTTGGTCAATATCATCTTTTTCGCAATGAACGCCGTCGATATTGTCTATAGTTATTGCGGTTGGGATATAGGTGAATAACGAGATCATATCAAATCACACCATCATCTTCGCTGTCTCCAGCTCCGTATGGTGGATGCGCGTCAAAAACTCTCCAGTCGACTTCCCTACCCAATACAAATCCCTGGCAAGGAAACACAGTTGTTAATAAAATCACTCTGACAGCCTAAATTTTGGGATGTCAGTAAAGGAGACGGCGAGACGTTGCGGCACCCCCGGCTTGTTAGCATTTGGTAGGTCGTAGAAGCAAACCATCGCAGCATAAGTGGATTTTGTGACTAACGCTTCCATTCTCGTTATAGATCCCGCCCTCCTCGGCTTCCCGATCGTTTCCTATATGCTGCTTACGAGCTTTTTGAACTTTTTTGTATTCGATGCTACGTAAAACTTCTTGTCCTTCAAGGAATTTCCCAGTTTTGCCTGGTACCCGGCCTTATCCCTGACGACCGTCGAACGCCATTTGTGGACGGGCAGCATGACGATATCCTTTATTTTTCGTCTTCTCAGCAGTTCTCGATCTTCTGATTTGGAAATCGTTATCTGAATTGTGTGTTGAAGGAGTAACGTCAGCACTTATTGCCGCATGGCGTTTCTGCATTCCCAACCTGCCTCGCACTTCTTGATCGCCGATTCGAAAGATTCGATTAAGTCTTCTGGTTTAGCAACCCTTATGTTAAACTTTGCTGATCAGGAGGAAACAAGCAGGTCAAAATTCGTGCTTCGAATATGGACATAATACGAGGCGGGTGGCAAGGTTGAATAATTCGAGACCAACAAGGACAGCGATCACACTACTCTGATGATGGAAACGAGGAAGCTTCCGAAACGTCGGTGGAAATATAATTTGGTCCGTGAGCTCGGCTCTTCTTCGGAGGAGGATGAACAGGATAACATATCTAAACCTCGATTCTGTAGACATGCGAAATGGCGTTGCCGACAAGGACAAGGGAGACTGAAATGGCCATTTCTAGCTTGCTAGCTGTCATTGGTCAGTTATGCCAAACGCCGTGGTACGCGAGCCCTGAAGCTCTACCTCGCGACCCAACGTTCTAACAATTTGGTCACGGGCCTGTTGTCCTGTTGGTTGTAATCGGGTACATTAATAGAGCTAGTGGGGTGCGCAATAATCATATTACGGGATTCACTCATCCTGTTGGGCCTTGGGGCTCTCTCTCGAGCCCCGACAGTACCCCTACAGAGATGTGTAATGTAGACAGAATGGCTCAATGGTTAGGGTGCTGGACTTCTAACCCAACAGGTCACTGGATCGAGCCCAGGCTGTTGGAGACCTAGGGGTCGGGTATAGCTGGCCGTCGACCGCTAGTAGGCCGGACGCGGCAATTACAGTCTTCCTGGTTTTCGTCGACAATACTAGCCTATATATATTTACTGAAAGGCAGGCATTCCAAGAAATATAATTTGAAGCTAGCGGGTTCTTCAGCGCATAGACTGGCGACTACCTTACGCAGCTCACTCGCACGATCTTAGGATAGGGCTGGCTATCCGCAGAAGAAGGAAACGCCTACAGGTTCCCATGTGATGCCGCATATTGTGGCCAGACTGGAAAGTCGGTCTCCACAGTCATTCAATACCATCAGTTAGCTGTTAAGAGGCGACACCACCTACCTCAAATAATCCAGAATTGGCCATTTCAGCGTCCCTGTCTTTGTCGGTGATAGTTTTCGGATTATTTGCCCCAACATGCAAAACCTTTTGAGGAGGCACGATCTCCACCAAAAAAGATCACAAACATTAAATTGCTTTTCTGCCCTCTTTGTTCTGCAAAACTTAAGACATGCATTTATATTAGGTGAGTTGTCACTTATGTGAAATCGAGGGAACTTTGTGTGGTTAAAGAGATTCACCTTTGAAAACTCGCATGTCATGGTGCAGGTGTCGCCCTGATGGGCAGTTTTGCAACTCCGCCTTTTCGGAAGTCCTGTGTAAGTCATCTGCCTGCACAAGCGTTCTGCCTGGTTAGATGAACTTTGTCACCAAATATGCCATCTGACGCCATAGAAATCTATAAATTGCGCAGCAACCGAGCATCCCCCACAAACTAAGGCGCGAACTTCTGACCCGCATTAAGAAGTGGTTTTATAATTAAGCTTAGTCCATGGAATAAACTTGTCGCTCTCTAGTGATTCAGTCAGTCAGCCTGCTTAAAGGATTATTTGTAAATTGGTGAAATTGGTGTTAGAAAGTTGCCCCAAAGTGGGACGCAGAACACTATGCGAGCATTTTCAGCCAAATATTCTTAACTTGGCTACAGACCCACGTTCTCTCAATCACCAAATGATTCGGGTTCATATGTAAGACTTCCAGCCGGGATTGGGTGTTATTTGTTGATTTGAATAGTAATCCGTGAGTAACTATGTTCTCCTTTACCCACGCCTGATAGTTCGTCTCTCATCTGCACTCACAATGTCACGTGAACGATACCTTGATGCCACAAAATGCCGGCAACCCAGCACTGCTGAGGCCTACGTACAGAAATACGGACCAGTTACACGATCGGAATCGATGGAGAAAACAGTGACCAGTGGTCATCATTGAGGTCGTCAGTCTATGGGGTAGCTGGCGGAATTATTGGACTCACCCTGCGGCACCTCAGTGGTTGAATCAGCAAAAGAAACTTGCAGCTGTCTGCCTAAAAGGCTTGATCCAGGTCCCACAACGATAATTCCTTCTGCCCACTCCGAAAAATGACAGTGAAGTCTTTTAGGGATGGCTGAAAGAAATGTTCGGCTGAAATGGCCACCTTCACTGGGCGGCCTCAAACGTTGATGACGCTCGAAAATTCTAGAGAATTTTCCGCCAAGTTAATATTAGGCCCTCTGCACTGAGAGACGCTGCTCGCAATGTGGATGGTGGATTTACTGCTGATAGCCCGGCTAAGATCGCTGGCGAAAACATTTGGAGCACCTTCTCAACCTCGATTATCTACCCATCACGCCTTCGCTTCTCTTGAATAGAACTTTCTCCCTCTCTAGCATATACGATTTCATGTAATCCTCCCTCTCAGGGATAAGTCGGCAACGTAATACGGACGCTATGCAATAGCAAGGCACCCAGAGAGGACGGTGGTCGCGCT